TCAAGCACAGGACTCTTACCAAACCTTCCTTTCCAGCCTCACACCTCACTGTTTCTCTCTCACTACCCAGTGTCCCTGAGTATAGGGCTTCTTAGGCTCAGTTTGTCTAGAGAATGAGCCTCCCTTTTCCTGTAGGAAAAAATCAGTTACATGATAAAAGGAGTCATAGATGGAACTTGGACAGGAAGAGCCTCATTCTCTACCTTCTCTAACACTTGCTGCTTCCAAATATGGAACCGTATGGGAATGTAGGGAGACAGATTAGCTTTCCTTCCTTGATGTATCTTCCTCTTCTGACAATTAGGTAACAACTTCATCCTGTCTGATGAGTTAATTGTCACCCTTTGATCTGTTCTCTGTGAAGACAGCAGCTGCTGGCACGGGTGTTCTATTTATGAAGCTTCTCTAAATGAAAGGATGGAGGAAACTAACAGTGTTTTCCCAAAATCTTTGCTGAAGTTCACTCTGCTCATCACCTGTCAACGTACCTCTGACCTCTGGGTGCTTCAGCAGGAGCAGGAGTCCATATCTCAGAGTGGTGCTTGTGGTTTCTGTGCCAGCAACAAATAAATCACTTACAGTGCTTATCAAGTTTTCAGTAGTAAACTCTGACGGCTGAATGTGCTTTTCCTAGAAATGATTTGATACATTATCTGACAAATTATGTATTAATGTATTTAATTACAGTGAATTCAAAATAACACACTTTGTTATAAAGTTAGCAAACACAGAAACTGGAGAGTGCAGTATCAGGAAAAAGCACTCTATAGTATGGCAGAGACTGTAGATCAATTGACCCAAACTTTATTTCCTACCCCTTATCCTTTGCCTGCCAAAAGATTCCATTTATGTGACTCTTCCCAGCCAGGTGTGCCATGCAGCATATTTCTTTCCAAAAAAACATAAGCAGAAGCCTATTGGTGCCCTGTCTTAGTCTGTTTGTGTCGCTATAACAGAGTATCACAGACTGGATAACTTATTTTAATAAAATAAATGTATTTCTCATTGTACTCACGGCTGGGAAATCCAAGAGCTTGGCGCTAAGCCTCTGGCGAATGCCTTTGTGCTGTGTCATCCACGGCAGAAGGTGGAAGGGCAAGAGAAGGTGAGAGCAAAAGAGGTCAACATGGGGCTGCACTCACTTTAACAACAAACCCACTCCCTCAAAAATGACATTCACTCACTTATGAGGACAAAGCTCTCATGAACTAATCACCACTTACTTCTTAGGCTCCACTTCCCAATGCTGTTCCTTTGGGGATTAAGTTTTCAAACATGAACTATGGGGGACACATTTAAATTATAACATTTCATGCCTGGCCCCCTAAATGTATGCCCTCCTCACAATGAAAAATATACTTATTCTATCCCAACAGTCCAAAAAGTCATAGTCCTAAGTCCAGACTTCTCTATATCAGATGTGTATGAGACTCAAGGCACAATTCATCTTGAGGCAAATTCCTCTCCAACTTTAAATCAGCAGAGTTAATAAGTTATGTGCTTCCAAAATATAATGGAGGGACAAACATGGGATAAACATTTCCATTCTAAAAGGGAGAAACAGCCAACAAGAAAGGGTCAGCTGCTTCCAAGGAAGCCCAAAACTCAATAGGGAAAATAGCACTAGGAATCTGGAGAAACTTATGTTGAGCGAAACAAGCAAAGCACCAAGGGATACATTCTGCATGCCCTTGCTCATATGTGGGAGCTAAGAGGGGAAGGAAGGAAGGAAAGAAAGACCACAGTAGTGCTGTGGTCTAACACAGGGAGGTAATACTCCTAGGGATACAAATTGGAGTGGTGGGGAGGTGGAAGGGGAGGGAGGTTGGGGGATAATTGGGTGGGGACAATGGTTACAATAGTAATTTCTGGTAATGGGTATGTGTCCAGTATGAATCTGGCCCTCACATCATGGGCAGGAGGGCTGACAAATAGCTTTGTATCCCATGAATATTGTGAAAGAAAGAAAGAAAGAAAGAAAGAAAGAAAGAAAGAAAGAAAGAAAGAAAGAAAGAAAATTTTATACCTTAAATGTGTATGATATATTATTGTTCATTAATTATACTTAATATAGCAGTAAAAAGAAAAAAGAAAGAAAGAAAAAAAGAAAGAAGGAAGGAAGGAAGGAAGGAGGGAGGGAGGGAGGGAGGGAGGGAAGGAGGAAGGAAGGAAGGAAGAAAGAAAGAAAGAAAGAAAGAAAGAAAGAAAGAAAGAAAACAGCACTAGGTTTTAAAGCTAGAGAGTAATCTCCATTAACACCACATCTCACATCCTGGGCACAGTCAGGCAGGGGTAGGGCCCCCAAGGATTCAGGCAGTCCCAACCCTATTACTTTGCTAGGCTCAGTGCCAGCAGCTCGCACAGGCTGTAGTATCATACCTGCACATTTCCAAGGCTAGAGTTGCATCTTGGTGTCCCTACACTCCTAGAGTCTTAGGAGTGGCTCCGTTCACATGGCTCCACTAAGCATTACTATCACGGGGGGTCTCTGCTGTGGCTCGACCCCTGCTACATGTCTCTACCAGGGTGCATGAGTTGTCCATGATATCTTCTGAAATCTAGATGGAGGCTACTGTGGCCCTACAGCTGGTGCATTCTGCATGTCTCCAGAGTCAGCATCATGTAAATGCTACTGAACTTTAAGACACCAAGGTACAACACATAATCTACACCTGGGCCCACTTTTGCCAAGGCTGTCTTGGAGCAGGAGCACTGTGCCAGAATTTGGGGGGCATGATCTCAAGTTGGCACAAGAGAGCAAATATTGAGGTTCCACTGGCACCTCTCTGCAAACCTTGACCTCAAGGTTATAGCTTGCTTCAAAGATCTCTGAAATGTCTGCAGGCACAACTCTGATTTTTTGAAAACAAAGTTTCCTGTTGCCCAGCTTGGGATGAGCAAGTTGCACAGCAACACAGCAGCACAGTACACTGTCCTCCAAACTGCATGACATGGAGGTTGTATGTGAGGAAAGTTAGCCTCTCTGTGAGATGCCAAATTTACTTAAAATTACAAGACACTTTTTTCATCAAGCACTCTCCTGGATGCTTGACCAGACCCCATATTCACAAAATAGTTTCATCAGACAGATTATGGAGGGTCAAGGATTGGTGATGGGCTAGCACAAAGGCTGGCCAATGTGTCAATCCCCGTGGGCTAAAGCAACTTCCACAGTGACAATGGATGAGAGGATTTCAAGAGACAATTTTTTTTTTTTTAAAAGGCAATATGACTGTTTTTCTTTCTTTTTTTTCTAAAAACTTAAGGATATCTTTCAGGTCACTGAATGATTGGAGACATAAAAGGAAAGAGATTCAAGTGATCAAGTCTTTGCCAAATTAATTTGGAAAGTCACTAAATAAAAGGATGACTGCAGACTACATCAAGTAACAATGGCAATTGCTAGAGAAGAAAGAAAATATTATTTCCTGAGTCAATACATTATAATATATTAAATCCAGTTCTCAATAAAAAATTACACAGCACATAAATAAACAAGTAATATGTTTCATTAACAGCTAAAAAAAAAAAAAAAGAATTTGACAGAAACCATTCCGGGGGAAGCTCAGCATTAGACTTACTAAGTAAAACCCCTACGGCAAATGTAAATATTTTAAGACAGTTGGAAGAAACCATATACAAGAACTAAAGGAAATCAGAAGAACAATGTATGAAAAAGTTGGGAATATCAATGATAAAAAGAAATAATTAGTTAAAAAATTAGAAATTTTTGGAGCAAAAAGACAATAGTTTAAAAAACAATTCACCAAAGTGATTTAACAGCGGGCTTGGGTAGGCAGAAGAAATAAATAGCAAACATAAAGGCAGGACAACAGAAATTACCCAGATGGAGTGGTAGAACAAAAACTGAACAAAGAAAAATGAGCAGAGCCTAGGAGCCTATGAAATTCCATCTCATCTACCAATATACACACTATGGGAGCTCCTGAAAGAGTAGAGAGAAAAGGGGCAGAAAAATATCTGAAGAAATAAAGGCTGAAAACTTTTAAAATATGATGAAAGACATGAATCTACACAACTAGGGAGCTCAATAAATTCCCAAAATGGTAAAACCAAAGAGATTCATAACAGGGCCTGGTTTGATTAAAATGTCCAAAATCAAGGACAAAAAGAAAATGTTGAAAGCAGCAAGAAAGTGACTCATAACATACAAAGGATCCTCAATAAGAGTAAGAATTGATTTTTCTTCAAAAACTATGAAATAAAAAAATCATTGGAATGAAATATTTAAAGTGCTAACAGAAAAAACTGTCAACCAAGAATTCTGTATCTGGCAAACCTATCCTTACATAATAAAGAAGAAATTAAGACATTCCAATATAAAACTAAAAGTAAGAAAATTCCTCCCTAGTAGATCTTCCCTACAAGAAATACTAAAGGAACTCAGCTTTCATGCTGAAAAAAAATGACACTAGAAAATAAATAAAAGCCATAGTAAGAACTAAAAGTCCTTATTAATTATGAAATATTAAAGATACCTATATATAGGTAAATATAAAAGCTTATATTGTGTTTTTTGATGGAATCCTCTTTTTAGTTTTTCTATGATTATTAAAAATGTATAAAACAATCATTACATATCTGTGTTACTGGGACACAATGTATAAAGATGCAATTTGTGATAAGAACAACATAAAGGAGAATGGAGTTGGATGGGGGCAGAGTTAATGTATATAATTTAAAGATAATTTGCTATTAATTCAAACTAGATTGTTATAAATTTAGCATGTAAACAGTAATCCTTATGATAACTACCGAAAAAATTAAAATACGCAAAGAAAGAAATCAAGAATGAGTCAAAAAGTTTACTAGAAAAAAATTGATCAAACAAAAAGTAAAGCAATATTTAAAAGCAAAATTTTATGAGGCACTTAGAAAGAAACAACATTATAGCTCAAATAAATTTTCCAATATAACTAATAAATTTAACTGTAAATTGCTTAAACTTTCCATTTAAAATGCACATCTTGAGAGAACAGATTTTAAAAATAAAACAACTATGTACTGTCTATACAAAACTAACTTAGTATGCAAAGATACAAAAAGTTAAAGGTGAAAAAATAGAAATTTTTTTGCATGTGAATTATAGCTGAAGAGGGCTGGGATGGCTAAACTAATATCAAACAGAGAGATGTTAAGCAAAAATTTTTAAAAGAAGCAAAGTCATTTTATATTGGAAAAGGGGTGAATTCATCCAGAAGATATATCATTATAAATGTATATGCATCAATCAAGAGAGCCCCCAAATATATAAAGCAAATAATGGACAGTATTTAGGGGACAAGTAGAGAGTTATAGAAAAATAGAGGGAGACTTGGATACTCAATTTTTAATAATGGCTAGACTATCTAGACAGAACATCAATAAGGAAATATAAGATTGGAACAATACCAGATATCGACTGTACCTCTAATCAACAGCTTAACTTTACAACCTAGGAACTAGCAAAAAAAACAGCAATCTAGACTCAAGGCCACCAGAAGAAAGAGGATATTTTTTAAAAATGAGAAAAGCATTAAAAAAGAATGACACCAAACACTGGTCCTTTGAAAAGTTTGACAACATTGACAAACAGCTAAACTGACTAAATAAAAAAGAGGAGACAACAATAAATAAATCAAAAATGAAAACAGGGACATTACTACTGATTTTAAGAACTAAAAGATACTATAAATTCTAATATAATAATAATAAAATCCTCATAAAAGAATACTATAAACAATTGTATATCAACAAATTAGATAATCCAGATAAATGGAAAGCTTCGTATGAACAAAAAATTACCCAAATCGATTCAAGGTAAAATGGAAAATGTGAACACACCTATAGCAGGTAATGAATTAGTAAACAAAAACTCAAAAAAAAAAAAAAAAAAAAAAAAAAAAAAAAAAAAAGAAAAAGAAAAAGAAAAAGAAAAAGAAAAAGAAAAAGAAAAAGAAAAAGAAAAAGAAAGGCCCAGGACCAGATGACTTCACTGTTGAATTTCACCAAAAAAATTTGAAAGGAATTAAAACCAATTCTTACTGAAATTTTTCCAAAATATAGAAGAGGGAAAAAACACTGTAGGTCTTCATATTACGACAGAATATTTTGTATTTTCTAATTTCTTTGTAATTTTTTCCATCCACCTGAAGTGTGCATTCTGTTACTCCTCCAGTAGATTATTTTTATCTAAAGAACAGGGTCAATATATTCTAATTATTTAACAATTTAATTATATCTTTTCTGCAATGTTTAGTGCAGTTTTATGTATACTACAGGTACTTAAAATGCTTGTCAAGCATTACTGGCCCGACAGTTGAAACATTCCTAGTAAAGACAGAACTATTCAATAAACTATCAAATTGTGCAAGAAATCAAAGGACTGAGCTGTTACTAACATTTTACCTGCTCCATTTTGATGAGGAAACAATCAATAAAGTCTCGAGGATTGTTAATGTCCAAAGATTCTTGGTGTTCTTTTATTTTCTCTGTAATATAACTTTTTAAACTAGCAATATTTTTAAATAATTTGTTATGAATTCCTGGGAAATAATCAAAGAGAGAAGGAAAAGTATTGCAGATCTAAAAGAGAGAACAATAATTTATTAAATGAGAAACATATAATGAAGATATATACCATATACCAAGCCCTACTTAGAAATTATAGCTATAAATATGAAAGCAATGTATGTGGTGTCCGTCTTGAGAGGGAAGTTTACATTGTATGTACATGAGTAATTCTCTTTGCCTATAGAATAATTGCAGAGAGAAAATTCTGAGATAAGACCAAACATAGAACCATTTTCTAGACTCAGACATCAATTATTTAGTATAAAACCATCTTTATATCAATTTTCTCATTTTTTGCATCAATTCTGCCCTACAGCCTGAAAATATAAAATGATGGGAACGATTATGATTAATATTTTGTAGAAGACAATAGAGGATAAGGGAGTTTGCCCAACGTGCTTTAGAGCATAAAGCGAGTCCTTGCTGTTTTAATTTCTGTCAAGCAGCCTCAGAAATAAAATCAGCATTTTAGAAGTGGGAGGGGCTCNTAATATAATAATAATAAAATCCTCATAAAAGAATACTATAAACAATTGTATATCAACAAATTAGATAATCCAGATAAATGGAAAGCTTCGTATGAACAAAAAATTACCCAAATCGATTCAAGGTAAAATGGAAAATGTGAACACACCTATAGCAGGTAATGAATTAGTAAACAAAAACTCAAAAAAAAAAAAAAAAAAAAAGAAAAAGAAAAAGAAAAAGAAAAAGAAAAAGAAAAAGAAAAAGAAAAAGAAAAAGAAAGGCCCAGGACCAGATGACTTCACTGTTGAATTTCACCAAAAAAATTTGAAAGGAATTAAAACCAATTCTTACTGAAATTTTTCCAAAATATAGAAGAGGGAAAAAACACTGTAGGTCTTCATATTACGACAGAATATTTTGTATTTTCTAATTTCTTTGTAATTTTTTCCATCCACCTGAAGTGTGCATTCTGTTACTCCTCCAGTAGATTATTTTTATCTAAAGAACAGGGTCAATATATTCTAATTATTTAACAATTTAATTATATCTTTTCTGCAATGTTTAGTGCAGTTTTATGTATACTACAGGTACTTAAAATGCTTGTCAAGCATTACTGGCCCGACAGTTGAAACATTCCTAGTAAAGACAGAACTATTCAATAAACTATCAAATTGTGCAAGAAATCAAAGGACTGAGCTGTTACTAACATTTTACCTGCTCCATTTTGATGAGGAAACAATCAATAAAGTCTCGAGGATTGTTAATGTCCAAAGATTCTTGGTGTTCTTTTATTTTCTCTGTAATATAACTTTTTAAACTAGCAATATTTTTAAATAATTTGTTATGAATTCCTGGGAAATAATCAAAGAGAGAAGGAAAAGTATTGCAGATCTAAAAGAGAGAACAATAATTTATTAAATGAGAAACATATAATGAAGATATATACCATATACCAAGCCCTACTTAGAAATTATAGCTATAAATATGAAAGCAATGTAAAGATATATACCATATACCAAGCCCTACTTAGAAATTATAGCTATAAATATGAAAGCTATGTATGTGGTGTCCATCTTGAGGGAAGTTTACATTGTATATACATGAGTAATTCTCTTTGCCCATAGAATAATTGCAGAGAGAAAATTCTGAGATAAGACCAAAGATAGAACCATTTTCTAGACTCATACATCAATTATTTAGTATAAACCATCTTTATATCAATTTTCTCATTTTTTGCATCAATTCTGCCCTAAAGCCTGAAAATACAAAATGATGGGAACGATTATGATTAATATTTTGTAGATGACAATAGAGGATAAGGGAGTTTGCCCAACGTGCTTTAGAGCACAAAGCGAGTCCTTGCTGTTTTAATTTCTGTCAAGCAGCCTCAGAAATAAAATCAGCATTTTAGAAGTGGGAGGGGCTCCAAGATATCTTGAAACCAAACTATGTATTCATCAAAGCAGTAATGTGACTTGTCTCAGAACCACAATTATTATTTAGGCTGGGTGAAAGCCATGTCAATTCAGCACAGAGAATATTGTGATGTTTGTTTATGGTTCATACAGATAAAACCAATTATTTTGTCATTCCCAATGCACTTACCTTGTCAGCTGGGATCCCAGCTGAAGCGTAAAACAACCCCACCCTACTCAGTGTTTCCTGGCAGCTTCCATGGTTCCTAGTATTCTCCCTCCTTGAAGGAGATATTCTCTTCCTAAATCAGAATATTTCTGCCAAATGGTATGACAAAGAGGTCTCTATGTGTTCACTGAACTGCAAGGCTTGTGAGCAATGGAGGCCTTCAAAAAGTGCCTGGATGTCCATTGAATGATATGGGCAACCTTGGGAAAGTTGACAAACTACTTTATAGAAATGGCTTTGGTGTTTAGTGGAAAAACTGCAGGCCAGGGATCTAATGGCCTTGAAAGACAGCCCTATATTGGTGCACTTGTTTTCCTGTGGGTCAAAGTGTGGCTTGGACATCTTTCCCAGATGTGTACTCCATGAGGCTCAGGCAGGAATGTGGTGTGCAAACATTCACTCCACAGCATGGTGTCCAGAGAATTTTGGACTAGTCATAGAAAAGAGCACTAGTGGTTGCTCAGAAAGAAAGTGTCTTGTCCTCACCAGGATCCATAGGGAGCCTTGAATCCTGATGTTCTCACTGAATTTGTCCATCAAGTTAAGAAAATTCTGATCTTTATAATCAAAACGATTCTGGAAAATAATGGAGCAGATCACATTGCAGGGAGCACAGCCCAGGATAAAAGTGGGATCACATGGTGAAGCTAAAAAATCGAAAACAATACAGAAATGTACATGTGAAAAGATATCTTGAAATCAAACTATGTATTCATCAAAGCAGTAATGTGACTTCTCTAAGTACACACAATTATTATTTAGGCTGGGTGAAGGGCATGTCAATTCAGCACAGAGAATATTGTGATGTTTGTTTATGGTTCATACAGATAAAGCCAATTATTTTGTCATTCCCAATGCAGTTACCTTGTCAGCTGGGATCCCAGCTGAAGCACAAAACAACCCCACCCTACTCAGTGTTTCCTGGCAGCTTCTATACTCCCTAGTATTCTCCCTCCTTGAAGGAGATATTCTCTTCCTAAATCAGAATATTTCTGCCAAATGGTATGACAAAGAGGTCTCTATGTGTTCACTGAATTGCAAGCCTTGTGAGCAATGGAGGCCTTCAAAAAGTGCCTGGATGTCCATTGAATGATATGGGCAACCTTGGGAAAGTTGACAAACTACTTTATAGAAATGTCTTTGGTGTTTAGTGGAAAAACCGCAGGCCAGGGATCTAATGGCCTTGAAAGACAGCCCTATATTGGTGCACTTGTTTTCCTGTGGGTCAAAGTGTGGCTTGGACATCTTTCCCAGATGTGTACTCCATGAGGCTCAGGCAGGAATGTGGTGTGCAAACATTCACTCCACAGCATGGTGTCCAGAGAATTTTGGACTAGTCATAGAAAAGAGCACTAGTGGTTTCTCAGAAAGAAAGTGTCTTGGCCTCACCAGGATCCATAGGGAGCCTTGAATCCTGATGTTCTCACTGAATTTGTCCATCAAATTAAGAAAATTCTGATCTTTATAATCAAAACGATTCTGGAAAATAATGGAGCAGATCACATTGCAGGGAGCACAGCCCAGGATAAAAGTGGGATCACACGGTGAAGCTAAAAAATTGAAAACAATTTAAATGTGTACATGTAAAACAATTTGACTATATTAAAAGTAAAGGAAATTTAGAAATTTTCTTTCCTATAAATTCCCTGAAGAGCAAAAAAGAATTCAGCATGCATAAAATCAACACATCACCATTACCTTAAACCTCAGTTGACCATTACAATCTCACTAGTTAAATAATGATATTCCAAATGCTCGATTCACATCTCCTGCCTTTATTTATACCCTTTTAACCCAAGGTGTCTGTTATTTTGGAAGAAAAAAAGTTTTTAAAACCTAGCAATTCAAGTTTTCAAAGCAGAATCACACGTGTTTACAATGTCTGTAGACCATAAAGCTTTCAGATAAAAAAGAGAGAGAGGATACTTGAGGACCTGGAAACTGTTTACATACACTAAATAGCTGAAAGAATCATGTGTTGAGCCAAGAGAGGAAACAAAGAGAGAGAGACTGTGTCTGAATTTATGTATTTGAAAGAAGAAGTATGAGAAGCAGAATGCATCCATGTTGTATTAAAAGAGAAACTCGTATAAATGAACAGTAAGTATAAGATGGATTTGTTTGTCTAAAAAAAAGAAATGTGAAATTTCTATTTAAAATACAAATTCCAGGTAAGGAAAATTTAAAATGTAAAGTGATAAATGGTGTCTTCTTATTTATCATTTCAATTTTAAAAAAGAAAATGAATTCCTTTCTTCAGGAAGTAAATTTCCATCATCTCCAATTATTCTCCAAATTTAATTTATTTGGCAAAGCTACCCTTTTGTGGATTTTTGATATTGTTCTGCATAGCCATCAAAGGAATGTTACGTTTTAGCAAATTTTTGTCCATCATTTAGGCCAAATCTATCATTTTGCATGTTAAGAAATTAAGTTATAGGAAAGTGGGGTTTTTTTTTTGTTTGTTTGTTTGTTTTGCTTTTTATGGTGAGTCTACAAAATGAATTACTTATACTCAAGTGATCAAAGAACTTTAAAGAGCTCCCAAATTCACACCATACAGCCTTAGTAAAGGTGACTTGAATCAAAAGTGTTCTGAATAAACGGTAGGGCATGGAACAGCAGGAAACCTGTTGAGTTAGCAGCTTCTATACCAAGTTTCTTTAAAAATATCAAGGCTTTGAGTTTTGAGAAATGTTTTATTTTAGCCACTAGGTAGGAGGGTAATTGGGGATGTTTGGGGGAGTGTGTGTCTGTGTGCCTGTGTGTCTGTTTGTGTGTGTGTGTGTGTGTGTGTGTGTGTGTGTTATTCACAGGTAAGATCTGACTTTTAGTCTTTCCTTTCACTTCATTTGGAAGGGAAAACTTAAAAACAAGGAATTTGAAAACCAAGCTGATAATCAGATTCATTATGACCAACAGTTCATACTTTAGTAGAGTTGGCAGCGGGAGGAAAATAATTACAATAAATTTTTAACTAAAACTCCAGTGAACATGAGGCAAAGAAATATGAAAATTGAAAACAGAGCCAAGCTACCCTTAGGGAAGACAGAGTAAAAAGTAACTGATAATTGTAGAAATCTAGTTAAATAAATATTTTTTTAAAATTTCCATTTCCATACATTAGAAATTATGTTCTAGCATATATTTGCTCAAAATAAATAAATCAGTACAGTAATTACTGTGTAACAAGAAATAATTAATGCTGGCTGCTTTTAAATAGTGTGGTGTTTACAGAGAAATAATAACTGATGAGAATTGTGGTGAGACATGCCTAAGCAATTAACTGATGAGAATTGTGGTGAGGCATGCCTAAGCAATTAAAACCCTAAATGGCATCATTAGTGGACATCTAAATGGCATCAGTAGTGGACAGAAAAACAGACACCGCCCTGAAAGAACCCCCCAGATATGTCAATGATGATGGTGGTACAAATATAGCCCAATTGAATGAAATAATATGTGACTTTGTTCCAGCTACATAAGGGTGTGATGGGGTTATTCACACTATGTCTGGTCTCCAAGTATTTTCTGGTGAAATATTCTGGAATAGGTAAACCACATGCTTGCTACCGGGAAAACAGTTCTCATTAATTCTTTCAGAAATTAAATCAAACCTATTTTATGATCTCTGATTTGAAGTCAAAGAAACAAAGTTCGGAAGAAAATAGGATTAAACCACACTCTACGCACAATTGTACCCGCACACACAAAATACATACACAAAAGCTCCCTCAGTCTCTGCTTCAAAGCAGCCCTCCTCCACGTGAGGGCTGACCACCACTGCCTGTAATGAAAGATCTAGCTGCTCCTGAGATGTTTCCAAGGATGTCACTGCAGGAGAGAGCAGTCTGTTAACGTCAGCACTGCAGAGCAATGAGGCACCCACCGTTGGTTTTTCTCAGCTCCTCCACAAGGCAGCGGGCTTCCTCTTGAACACGGTCCTCGATGCTTCTCTTCCCCATCCCAAAATTACGCAGGGTCATGAGCGAAAAGCGCCGAGTCTCCTTCCATCTCTTTCCATTGCTGAATATGATTCCTACCAGACAGGGAGCAGAAACTAGGAGGGAGATCCCAGGCAAGTAAGAGTGAATTGACACTTGGCAGCTACGTGGTTGGTCCAAGCTCTGCCTGAGGAGATGTTTGAGTCTGTGTTTTAAGTCCTCCCACCCCATTACCAATACTGACACAGGCACGTGCACACTTACCATGTCCTTTATTAGTTCTTTCAACCACTGGGAAAATGCCTCTTCCAGAAAACTCCTCTCCCATATCAATCAGGGCTTCCTTCACTGCTTCATATCCATACAACACCACGACGGGCTTCATGCCAAAATGCACCGTGAACACAGGGCCATAGACTTTTGAGAACTAGAAAAGGAGAAGCAGATAATGGCAAAACGAGACGCTATTTGGTCCAAATATTGTGCCTGATTCAGACTGATATTATCATTGTAATTTTTCTATTTTTATTTGCCACATACAGCTTCAAATATTTCTCAAATTCATTCATAAATAGGAAGGTGATTGTTGTAGCTGCCACTTATGGGTGGCCTATGATGTGCCATGCAATGACCAGGCAATTGGTACACAGACTACAATTAATCTTCATACCAATACATTCATCAGGTTTACTTGTCCTGTTTTACCAGCAGAGAAACTGAGGTCAGAAAAGTCCAAATTCATATTAGGTGCCACACAGGTTTTATACAGAAGACTCAAATTTGAACCTCTGCTTGTTCAACCTGTGATGCTTGAGCAATTTATCAGCCCCACACATTCTGTTGAGACCAGTGCACAGTTGATGACTTCAGAACCCCATTTAAACCTCTTCCCATATGTATCCTGACTCAGTATCCCTGTGATGAACACTAGAAATCTATACTTTTAAAGTCACTCCAGGTGATTCTGATTCCCAGCCCATTCTGTGACCTGCTGGTATTAGTAGCACAGAAAGAGAGAGCACCACACGGGCAGCACCAGGATGTGCAGCATCTCCTGGAAGAACAATTTCTAACATTTTTTGGGCCACTGACAGCAGCTTTGTGCAAAACCAAAAAGAATCCTGATACCACCAATTCATTCACTTAAGCTGGTTCTGAGCCCAGAGCTATTTCCTTGACGTCACGTATAAGTCAGTTCTTCAGAGCAGTTCAATTTTCATGGCTATACTGAATAAAACACATAACTAATATAATAGATGACTTTTTGAATGAAATCTCTTCTCACACACTTCCCTTACCATTTACCCTCAGAAAAAACACTTCCCTTACCATTTACCACCATTTACCCTCAGAAAAAAAATATCATAGCAAATGGACATAAAACAAAGAAGAAGAAAAGCAGCACTTGCAAAGTTTGCCACTTTGGTATTTTAATTCTACCATACAAAGACCTAAATGCCTCTCTGCTCACAGAGTGCATTATGCCACTCTGCTATTTCTGACAATAACATATTGGTAACAGAAACACCAATGTTTATAGAGAGTAATTTGCTTTAAAATGATATATTATAATAGTGTGCATCCAAAAATATATTTTGCTTAAAAATATGGGTAAATGTACTTACCCTTGGCAAGACAGTGCAGAATCATAAAGTGTACTTACATTCCTGAAGCATTTTTTGGTGTTCTTGACACTTAACTGCAGGGTATTTCCAATAACTGGGAGAGCAGTAGGGCCAGGTGGGAGCTTCCTTCTCCCAGAGCTCTGTCTCCAGAGTGAAAGCAGAAGCAAAGAGGAGAGACAGAGCACCAAGACCACAACCGGATCCATTGATGCCTTCTTTTCTCACTACAACACTGGGCACTTGCAAACCAAATCCTTTATAACACGCCCTTCTAACTCAGTGTGTGCATCTTTGGCAAATAAAGTGATTAATTAGCTAGATCCACTTGCACGCTGCTGAGTGGACCTTGATTCAATGGCCTTGTTGTTTTTATCAGTGCTCACCCAGAACATTCCGGTTTAATTCTACTGAGTTGGAACACACATATCACTAATTGATAAAACAAACAAAAATGCCCCCAAACCCAGGTGGTTCCAATGTGCAGACATGATTGAGAAGCACTATTGACTAACCCTAAATTACTTTATGCAAGAAAGTGACAAAGAATTCTGGATTCTCAGATGAATGACCAGTTGGGGATTTATGACTTGAAGGGTAATCAGTGTTTTCTGTGCCTTGTATACAAAAAAAAAAAAGTGTATTGTAATGCTATATCAAACAGCAGGAGATGTTTTCCTTGATAATGGAAGAAAAAAAAAAAAGTGTATTGTAATGCTATATCAAACAGCAGGAGATGTTTTCCTTGATAATGGAAGTCTTTCAAGCATTTAGTATATTCTGCTAACATTACAGTTGCCTACACATAAAATAAGTAACATAACTCACACATCTTAAGTAACCAGATATATATGAAGATATTGGGTAATAAATTTACACAGCTTTCACCATTAAATCTATAATTAAAACACGAGAGGGCAGATATTATTTTTTATTTTTCAAATGGGGGAAGGGAGACTGGGAGAAGAGGAGACCTGTCGGTGTCACACAGCTCACAGGTGGCAGAAATGGGATCTAAACTGAGATCATCTGATGCCCCTTGTGGTGCACTGTGGCTTACACCACAGCTACGTCAAGAAGAATTTTAGCAAAACCAACCCCCCCAAACATTAGTTACTCTGAATGTGCATCTCACTCACTCCATAAAGCAACAGGCTTCACATTAAATAGAAGCCCCTTATTTCATTCCAAGGATAACAGGTCAGAGGTGCCCAAGAAAACAAATAAAATATATAATTCTCCCTTTTCCATCATTACAGGGATGAAACTCACCTAGTGTAAATGAGGAAAGAGGCAATCCTAGAGAATTTCATTGGCAGGGCTTGAGAAACGATGGTGTCTCCTAGTTGCCTCCAAACACAGCTACTCACAACAATTGTTATAGGTCTGCCATTGTGAGAAATAATTGAAGGTGATAATGCACATCAAGGAAGGGAACTTATAGACAGAACAACAGTTGTGGATTCAACAGACGAGGGGAGGTAGGGGAATCATTTAATGAACCCACAGCACAGAACCACCATAATGTGCAGACTTGAACTGTAGATGACACTTAGTGTTCATGAGGATATAAATACAGGTGGAATATATACTTTAGGAGATCATTAATGACAATACTTGTGCAAAAGCAAGTTGTGAAAAAAAGTGTGTATTGTATTCTACATTAATATTTTTATAAAACTAGTGCAATTATTTCTAAGCCGTTTTAGTATAAAAAATTAAGACCTGGTTACACCATGTTTTATTGGTCATGTTTATATGGATTCTGACAATTTTCAGATACACAGAGAATTTTCACATCCACCATATCGCATTTCATTCTCTGACTTCCCTTTGCTGACAGTAAAATTATTCCCATTTTATGGATGAGGAAGCTGTGTCTCAGATACTCAGTGCCTTGGTCAAGGGCACATAGACTGCACGAAGGGGGTACTGCTGAGATAGGAACCCGATGTTCCCTGCCTCTTGCACCCTTCCCTCCGAGAAAAGCATTCAGTTCAACCAGGTTCACCGAAGTTTACTGATTGCGTGCTGTACTTCAGTATTTCAGGATTAAGCCTAATAAGCATCTTTCAAAATAAACCTTAACTTCGTTAATAATTACAGCACCACTTGACTAAAATGCGGGTCAGAAAAGTTTGACTTTATAACCCTTTGGACTTGAGTGAGTCCAAGTCTTGGTGAACCTTTATCCACAGCAAAAAGCAGCAGTAATTGCTGATTGACTCACATAGCTGTAAACTCTTAAGTTAAACAATCCACCTAATTTTGGATAAAATAAGCTCAGTTGTCTCTAGAGCAATGATTTCATTCCTTGAAATACAGATGTCTCTGTTCTACTTCTCCTCCCTTCTGTTGAGCTGAGGCTCCTGCCTGGACCTTTCTTTTCATAGAATGAAATAAGCATAAATAATTTAAAGATAGAAAGGATTGCTGATATGAACTAGTCTAAACTTTGCTATGTTTTTTAGGAATGAGCAATTGGACACTGGGTGACTTAAAATCTCACCAATGCTTCACTACAAGACTTCATCTTAAAATCCTGCTTTTCTGCTCCCAGTATAGTGACATCTCACATCCATCCCATAAATTCCTATCTCAGCCCAAATGATCATGATGGTAACAACATTAAGCCCTTTTAGTCACAGACTAATGCAAAGATCAGTCTGGCTAGAGTTATGAATTAGACCAAGTTTTTTTCCCCCCATTAATTTATATTCTTTAGGTAGTTTTAGGTTCAAAGCAAAAATCAGTGTAAAGTACACAGTTCCCCCAGAATGCCTCCACACAACAACCCATAGCCTCTCCAACAATCAACAACCCTCACCAGTGTGGTTCATTAGTTACAATTCATGAAGCAACATTGACACATTATCATTAACCAAAGTTTATAGCTTACATACAATGGGTGTTGACTAACGTATAATGACATGCACCCACCATTGTAGTAGTATTCAGAATAGTTTCACTGCCTCCAAAATCCTCTCTGCTCTGATTATTCATCCCTCCCTTTCCCCTAAGTCCTGGGCAACAAATAATATCGTCCTGGGCAACAAATGATATTTTAGTGAATGTGAATGTCCAGTTCCAGCAACACTTGTTGAAAAATCCACCCTTTCCCCATTTGCTTCATTTCCAAAAAATTGTTATCTGTTTTTGCGTGGATGTATTTCAGGCTCCATTCTCTTCCATTAATTTATCTGTCTACTTTTTCACCGACATCACACGATCTTGATTACTGTAGCTTTATAATAAGTCTCGAGATTGTGTCAGGTTGGTTCAGATCTCTGACTTTGTTTTTGTTCTTCAATATTAGCTATTCTAGGTTTTTGGACTCTGCACATAAGTTTTATGATCAGATTATCAATATCTAAAGAAGAAATATCCTTGATTTTAACTGGGATTGCATTCTATCTATAGACCAAATAAATTTCATCACTCTGGAGATGGATTTGTGTGAAAGTAATGTAGCTCTCCAGCTTTCTTTGGTTAGTGTTAGCATGGAATAAGTTTCTAAATTCTTTTACTTAAATTCTTTTACTTTTAATGTTTGTGAATTTACATTTCAACTGGGTTTCCTGTAAAAAACATACATATAGCTCGGTCTTGTTTTCTGAACTACTCTGACAGTGTCTATCTTTTAACTGTTATATTCAGTGATGTATAAAGTGATTTCGATATACTTGGGTTAATATCTATCATGTATTTGTTGCTGTTTTCTGCCCTTTGCTCTCATTCTTTGTTCCTATTTTCATCTTCAACTCTTTTTCTGCCTTCTAGGATTTGAACTGAGCAAGTTATATGATTCCATTTTCTCATCTTCCTTAACCTATTCCTTACATATTTTTTGCTATTTCCCTAGCATTTGCAAGATATATCTACAATGAATTCAAGCTCACTTCAAATAACACCATACTGCTTCATTGGTAGTGCACCTACCTCTACCAAAGTATTGCTAGTTCCTGCTCCAATTTCTTATACCATTACTGTCATTCATTTTCACTCATCCATATGCTAGAATAATCAAATACTCACAAGAAAACTTTACAGAAGTCACTGGAGAGTCATATCATGAGGCAGATTCCTGTAGGAGATTGCTGTGAAAAGAAACTATAAGTACTGAAGTCTCTGAGTGCACAGTTTTTCAGCCAACATGTGCCCTGTGAGTGGTTTCAGTTGTGCTCATCTACAGCTTGGTTGTATTATAGCTTTCTGGAAAGCTTTATTTAATAAGTGTTATTTAATTTATTCTCATTCTATTGCACTATCTAGATAATATAAACAGACATTTTTTGGAATGTGACTAGTATTTATTAATTGTGGTAAGATTTACCTAACATAATTTATTATTTCAACCATTATCCGTGTAAAGTGGAATGAAGTACATTCACGTTATTATGTAACCACTGCCCGAACTACTTGCATTTTGCAAAATAGTCTCCAAAACTGTTTTCTCTTGAAAAACTAAACTTTGTATCATTTAGTAATAACTCCCCAGTCTCAACTTCCACCTGTCCCTGACAAGTACCAAACAGTAACCGATAGACTTTCTCTATGCGTGTCCCTACTCTAGGTTTCTCATATAAATAGAACCAAAAAGAATTTTTTATGAGTGTGTGACTGGCTTATTTCCCTTTGCATAATGTCTTCAAGTTTCATCAATGTTGTTGCATGTGTCACAATTTCTTTCTTTTTAAGCCTGAATAACATTCTGTTGTATGTATATGTCCCACTTTGTTTACTCATTCCTTCTTCAATGAACATTTAGAATGCATCCACCTTTTTGTTGTGAATAATTCTGCCATTAACATGGATGTATAAATGTCTCTTTAATACCCTGCTTTCATTTCTTTTGACTGTGCACCAGAAGTGGAATTGCAGGATCATATGATGATTCTTCTATAATTTTTTGAGGAAGCACCACACTACTTTTTATACTGACTGCATCATATTACACTTTTAACAGCAGTGTGCAAGTCTTCCAGTTTCTCCACATTCTCATCAACACTTATGATTTTCTGGTTTTTGTTTGGTTTTAGTCTGCAACAGCCACCCTACTGAGTGGAAAGTTGCATCTAATTGTGTTTTTGATTTGCATTATTTTAATGATAAGTGATGCTGTGCATCTTTTCATGGGCTTATTGGCCACTCTATATCTTCTTTGGGAAAAGTTTATTGAAGTCTTTTGACAATTTTTTAATAATTAATC